CGCTAAATGAAAAGGTTATCCGAACATATTTTAAGTGCCCAGCCTGATAGCCAAAAGGTTCTAATTTGGCTTGGTGGGATCCACTTGGTTTTGCCCCAGCCCTCTATTGGTGTTAGGTTTTGTAAAAAAAAAAAGGGCTAAAAATTGGTCTATGGCCCTATAACCATTTCCATTGGAGATGGCATGAGAGGGTATGGTGTGGTGGCCAAAGTCGAGACTCGGAGAAAGTTGAGGGGGAGAGGTAGAGGCAGAGAAAACAGAGAGAGATTGAGAGAGATGAGAGAGCGTTTGTTGAATGACAGAATGTGAGAGACTGCTAGAGACACTGAAACCCCTAAGTAAGATTGGACGGTTGAGATTAAATCTCAACCAATCCGACTGTCCACAGGATTCCTAAACCTAATTTGAAATTAAATATATCTATATTTTATAAATATTTCGGTTCAGCTCGGGCTTACCGAACAAAGGTACATGGGATATAGAATCTTGTATAAAACTTTTTGGGATAGGTTCGGAGTCAAGTGATGAACGTTTTGGGATGTTTTCGGTTCAATTTCAAGACTTTTCGATTCGGTTAAAAAATTTTGATATTTGTTTTTCACCCCTAGTCTACATTGTACCGTGACTATGACCTCGATAGAGTCCACTATCTTGCAATATCTTTTGACAAAGGAGACAGATTGTCTGCCCTCCTATTTAGGTGCCCTTCTCAGCCCCTCATATTTTATGTGGTCATGGTTAAGCCACGTCAGCATTTTATATTAATTTTTGGGGTATTTTGATATGGGTTCAAAGTAACTAAAAATTGAACCTATTTCAAAAATAAACAATCACTAAAAATTAGACCTATTTCAAAAGTAGGCTTATAAAATTGGACATGTTTCAAAATTTCCCTTAATTTTTTATAGTGATAATAAGACAAAATGCAATAAAAATATAAAATACTGACGTGACTTAAGCGTGATTGTACAAATAAGAGGAGATAGGAAGGACATCCATCCTTTGACAAAAGGCACCGAACTGTCCAAAATCTTGCAAGACAAGATCACCCTTCAATTCCTCTTTGGCCCCCAAGCTCCAAAAGTAAAGTTAATAGCTTACACCTAACGCAGCAGTTCATCTCAAAAATAGAAAGGTTAAAAATATAAAATGTGAACTTACATTTTCTTTCAAGACAAAAACAAAAAAAAATTAAATAAGTAGAATTTTTTGTATGATCGTCAATGTTGTTTTTAGTGTAAAAAAAAAAAATAATAATAAAAAAATAGTAGCTCACACCTACCATATATCCCTAGATTTCGCTAATTTCCAAAGTGAATCGTGTCAGGCATCATAGTCTATCGCTTCGTAGTTTGTAGTGCACACAATAAAATTACCGAAAGGACAATTAGAAATGTGCTTTAACTTTAAGATAACAAACAACAATAACAAGAAGTTTTTTATGAACTTTTGATTAACAATTTAACGTCAATTTTTATACTTATATTATAAAATATTATGTAAATAATGTAAGGTGATAGGGGCCGGCACGGTGGCCTATTAATTTAATGATGGAGAGCACTTCAAATAATTACGTTGTTACTTTTGATAGAGAGTTCATATAAAATCCTACCTTGAAAATAATTTTTTTAACATTTCTCATGTAAACACAGTTACTGCTACGGAAAATATACAAAGGATTCATATGGTACAATTGGTGAAAAATAGGCAACATTTGGGGTAGTGTAGCGTGATTGACTTGTACAAAGGGTTGTAATTTTGGGAGTATTAAAATCGTGGAAATGAGAAAGATGATCTTTTACTGCAATATCGATAAATATTTATGCATATACATTATGGTGTATGTTCGATCTTTGCCGATTGTCTTTTTTCCTAACCATATAACTTTGTCGCTCTACTCAAAAGTTATAGTTTTTTTGCATTTGCATAATTAGTACATTTATTGCGACTCACTTTATTGTGAGAGCTTGTATAAAACAAGTTTAATACCATGTGACGTTTTGATTCAATAATATAATGTCATAAAAAGAAATTTATCCATGACATTACATTATTGAATCAAAATGCCAATATAATGGTGCACTTGAATCACTAAAATGACCAATTTAATTAGAAATTCATCAAAATGACAAAATTTATCAAAAGTTTGAAATGAACCTAGATTATTTAAGAAAATAGATTTGCTATGGTCAGTTATCAGCGTGCTTGTGCAATTTTTTTAAATTATTGTAAGGAGAGAGAGGGGGATTATTGAAACTATTACAATAATTTAATAAATATGAGACTTTGTATGCGATTTCTAATTATAAATTGTTTTTTGTTGAAACCTTGTTAGTTTTCAGTTTTTTATCGAAGTCCTTGTCATTAATATAATAATTTATTTATATGCAAGTTAATATATTTTTGAAACTAAAAATTGAAATTTGTAGATGTTTTTATTAATGAGATTTTAAATAATACCTATAATATATGGGATTAAAAATATTAAAAGATAAATTATACTCTCCAATATATTATATATACATATCTAAATATAGATACCTTCATTAAAATTAACCAAAAAATTATTGTACCAAAACTGTACCACCTCACAAAACCGGTGCAGTTGAATTCGCAGTGTATCTGGCATGGAAGCCGGAGAAAACAGCAGTACATTATTCACATTATATCGGAGGAGATGAACTTACTCGTATACTCATTTGATTACTACAGAACACTTACTAGCATTCTATAAAGTGCCACGTTTACACCACTTTGTTACCGACATGGTGTTGTTTGCAGGAGTACCTTTTTCTTACTAATCTCCTTCTCCTTTCTTATCCTCCTATTTAAACGGTTATAGCTAAGTTATGTCAACGTTTTATGTTAATTTTTTAATAGTCAAAAGAAGACAAAAAGCAATTAGTAAAAGAAGAGGAGGGAAGAGGATGTGAATATGAGTTGGGGGGGGGGAATTTTACTGCGTTTGCAGGCCATATATAAAAATAGAATAATGCTAAGTAAACAAATTTACAAATTAAATTATGTATCACTACTGAAAAATAAACATATTATTCAATATTTAAATAATAATTTAATCGTCAACATCTATACTATTTGGTCTATAATTTTTTTTATATAAATTTAATCTCTCTAATATTATCCATAAAATTATCTTTACGTTCACATCTGCTCTTTTTAGATAACTTCACATGTGCTTTAAATATGAAGTTTGGACTGTTGAGATAAAGGATGTGCTTATCAGTTTTTTTACATAATTGACTGAATGATAGCTACATTTCTCTTATCTGTTCTCTTTTTTTTTTTATTTATTTATTTTTTTATTCTTAAGATCTTACATATTCACTTTGAAACGCGAACAGTCTATGTAAAAAAAAAAAAAAAAAGGAAGCTAAATTCAAATGGATTTAGTCATCTAACTTATTATTATCTGATAATAACTAAATGAACTATTTTTTTTTAGTTAAACAATGAAATCATGATAGGTTAATCAAATAATTAAACGATTTATGATTTAGTTTATTTTTTTTTAAAGTTCACCCTTATAGGGTAGCTTACTGAATAATTGATTTTAAAGAAAACTAATGAAAAATGTTTGAAAACTTTAAGTTTTAACGATAAGAACAAAATAAAGGATAAATGAATAATACCATGATTGATTTTTTTTAGTGTAAAAATATGGTTTTTCGTTAAAGTAAACAGTACCGAGAGCTTTTCGTTAAAGTTCCCTTGACTTTAACCATCAAATAACATTGTTGAATCTTAAAAACAAAGAAAAATGTAAAAGAAAAATAATACAAAAGAGAATGTAGCTATAATTTTCTAATTTTCTAAGGCCCTGTTTGGCACATCATATAGGGCACCGGATAGTACTAATAATACGGTGTACGGTGTTTGGTGCCGTTTGGATTAAATAGGCACTGGATTAAATAATCCGGGCTCACATTTTTTATCCAGCGTTTACCCGACTGCTTATACCGTCCAAATTCACGGTATAATTTAGTCGGCCTCGCTCTCCTTCCTCTCCGCTCGCTCTCCGCTCGAACTCGACCCCCTCTCTCGCCCTCTCTCTCGCCTTCTCGAACTCGACCACAGGACGGTGTAGCTCGGGTTCTTCAGGTCGCGGGACTTGGGCTAGAAGACGACAGTGGTGGGGGAGGAAGTTGGAGGTTGCAGAGCGGATCTCGGAGAGGTCGTAGATTTGGGGGTTTTGAGGGAGGGAGGATTTAAAGGATTTGAGGGAGGCGACGAAGGAGGAGGTGGAGGATTTGGAGAAGTTGTAGCTGGAGTTGTCGATGGTGGTGCTGAAAATGGCGGAGCAGACGAAGAAGAAGAATGGAGAGAGGGAGGGATTTGGGGGTTGCGGTGGAAAGATCTGGGAAAAGAGATGATTTCTGTTTTTTTTTTTTTTTTAATTTTATTTTAAGTTTGATTCTCCTATCCGATATAATATCAAGCACAGTATAAATAATACGGTCAATAGTCCGATACTGCATCAAACACCCGACTAATTTAGTCAGTACTATCCGGTGACTATTTATCCTATCCGACAGAAATAGTCAGTACAGTCCGACCTGCCAAACGAGGCCTAATTGTATAATTTAAAATTTCTTTTTAATTTGCTTTGAAATTCACTCAAATTATAACTGATCGTCATATTACATTTGTTGGAATAAAACATCTCTAAACAACGTTAGAGTTTCAAAATTAAATTTCCAAGCTATAAACAGACACTGTTCTGACCAATTAATCTAATCCGACAGTTTCACCCTAAAAAAAATCGGTATCCCTACGTTTATTTGACATGCAGTTCCTTTCAGTTAAAAAATGTTTACTATAAAAATCTATGACAATTACAAACAACATGAGATTGTTGGTTCCCAGCTGGATCTGGACGGTTGTGAGGTCTTCTCTCTCCTCACCACCTCACATGTCCCATCCCTTTTAATATAATATCAGATTCCAAACTCCTATTAATATATTTCCTTTTAATATATTATCATCAACTATTTGGCTCCTTTTTCTCTATAAATTCCATCCCCCAAACCCTCCAATCCCTCCTCTCTTCCACCTTTTTCAGTTTTTCTTCATCTTCCCTTTCTTCTTCTGGGTTTCTTGAGTTTGCAGCCCATTTGATCCATCTCGGTTTTCATCTGTCCTAGTTTTTCTCCCGTTCTGCTTTTAAATTTGGGATTTTGTCTCTCCAAATATCCAAATTCTCAGAAAGTTTCAAGCTTTATGCTTCGCTGGAGTTTCTGAGATTGTTTCAAAAATACCCTAAATCTTGTTATTTACTTTTTGCTTCTGTTTTTTTTTCAAGAAACTTTATCTTAAATGCTAAACATTTTGTTCTTGATGTTTGAGATTGATGACTCCAGTTCTGAGTGAAACCCTTCTCTCCGAGTGCATGATAAATTCCACTTACAGGCGCAGGACCCATTTAGTTCAATCCTTCTCGGTCGTCTTTCTTTACTGGCTTTATTACGTTTCATGATTTCACTTACCATCAAACCCTACAATAATAATAATTAGTATTTCTACTATTTTCTGTAAGTTTTGAGTTTATTTTGTTCTTGGGTCCTGCAATAATCTCTCTCTGAATTAATTTCTGGGAAAATCTGCAAAACTTTCTGTGGTTTTCATCAATGGCTTCCTCCAGTGGGACATCTTCAGGCTCCTCCTCCATGATTCATCAAAATTCATGCTCTGAGGAAGACTTGACGGCTCTGATGGACCAGAGAAAGAGGAAGAGAATGATTTCCAACCGCGAATCGGCCAGGCGGTCTAGGATGAGGAAGCAGAAGCACTTGGATGATCTGACGGGCCAGATCAGCCAGCTACAGAAGGACAACGAACAGATCATCTCCAGCCTCAACATCACAAGCCAGCATTACATGAACGTTGAGGCAGAGAACTCTGTTCTCAGAGCCCAAGCTGATGAGCTCAGCAACAGATTGCAGTCCCTCAATGAGATTGCCAGTTTCTTGAATGCAAACAATGGGGGGCTCCATGCAGCTGCAGCAGATTCAAGCTGCTTCGCTGAGCCTCATGACAGCTTCTTCAACCCTTTGAATCTGTCATATCTTAATCAGCCTATAATGGCCTCTGCAGAGATGTTCTACTGACCGTGTTCGGGTTTATCTATTTATATCTGTATCGTGTTTCTGTCGACTTATCGATAGGATTGGATGGATTGATAAAAACTAGAGAGAGAGAGAGAGAGAGATGTGTGTAGTTTTATTTGACTGTTTTAATTAGATGGTGTTTAAGGAATTATTTGTGTGTTAATGTAAAACAAAAGAGCTGTGGTGTTGGGTTTTCTGGGTCTGTAAATGGGGGCTATGATTTTATTGCAGTGGAATTTTCTTATTAGCTATTAATGTGAGTGTAGCTGTTTTTATTGCTTAAAAAGTTGTCTTCAATTTGTCTTTCTCTAGCATGCATGCGTTATGCGTACAACTGTTTTGCAATTCAAGAGCATCAATTCTTTTGGAGTGTATGATACTTCCTCTTTCGTGAAAAAATGCAATTTTTTTTCACTTCTACAAAAATGTTTTGAATTAGTATAATATCTTCGAGGCGTCGGAATATAATATCTTGATCCTTCTCTTGTCTTTTTTGCCTATTTAACTCTTTTTTTCTCGCCTTTACTTCATGTTTAGCCTTATCTTGCTCATAAGATTACCTTTTTTGCTCCATATTTAGTGCATATAGGTGAGCCAATTCGTCAACTATTTTGAATACATTTTTTTTAAGATTTATTACTGGCATTCTAAGCTTTCTATATTTAAAAAGAAAAAATAAATATTGTTATGAGAAGTGCACATTTAGATTTGAAGAGTAGTAATAATGGTTATTTTCTTTTTTGTTAAATGTTTGGCAAATGTTATAATCTCCCTTCTTTTACAAGTTTATAGAGTCAATTCACTTTGTTAATTTGAAGATTCATTTAAAGAGTCTCTTGGAGCAACATTTTGTTGGTTTTTTGCTAAAATGGTTAACAAATGTTGTTTATAGAGTCTCTTGGATATGCTCTTATGTTTTATCTCTAAGGTTAGCAAGTTGGAATCAATTGTTTTGGAAGTTTGAAAAGTAAACATTTTCTTTAAACACAATCAAGATATTTATGTTTCCTTTTTTCCTTCAATATTTAGAAATATCGCCACTTGAGAAGTGCTTGAACCCACTTCTGAGTGATTAAAAGTCTTAAAGTCTAACAACTTGGGCTAAAAGTCTTTTTAACAAGTTTCAAATTATCAATCATATGAGAAAGTTTTCCACCAGTTTAGGCAAGAGATGGTGATTGATCTTCCTTAATCACCAACCTAGAGATCTACATCTCCTTCTCTTTTGTAAAACTTGTTATATGGGTTCTCCTTCTCTTTCTTTTTTTTTTTTTTTTTTTAAGTTGTACCATAGTTTTCACTGTTGAAAAAGATATTTTGCCTTATGATGGGTATAAAGTTTAAGGAAAACTAATGAAAAATGCTTGAAAATTTTGAGTTTTAATGATAAGGACAAAATAAAGGGTAAAATGAATAGTACCAGGATTGACTTTTTAGTGTAAAAATATGGTTTTTCGTTAAAGTGAACAGTACCGGGAGCTTTTCGTTAAAGTTCCCTAAAGTTTAATGGGTTAGGAAAGAACTCTGTTTTGCACTTGATTCCATTGCAGCTTGTGGACCACAAAGGCACTGAAATTAGAGTTTTCCATTTTATTCTTGATATAAACTTATTACAGACCCAGTGAAAACGAGCGAAAATTTTACTATATTATGGTGTATGACATGTACTAAATGAATGAAGAGTTGAATGTTCGATCAAGGCTCTAATATCCAATAACAGAACAATAAAAAATTTTAATATATAATATACATCAGTGCATACTAGAAGAGTACCACAACTGCTTTTTCTACTCATGTCTTATGATGTCTCTCGATATTCACTTTTATAGGATTTTTTTGCAACTGATGAGAATCATTTGTAATTGTTAGATTGATATATATATATATATATATATATATATATAGTTTACAAAAGATAAGATCTTATAGTCTTTTACAATGTACTTACAATGTTATATTAAAGTTACGCCATCACATTGGAGTTAGCTACTATTAAGTATCAAACTCATCACATATATCGTCTTCAATATCTATGTTATTTGAACATGAGGCCTTCTCTAACCAAGTGGCTACATATATCACATAACAAAAACTATTTGTAACTGTTTGATCGATGAATTCTATATTCTTTTGCAGCGATCTATATTAGTGACAGTTTGTTGTATAAAGTACAAATTTTTAGCAAAAGAAAGGAGTATATCAACACAAACAATATATAAAGCGAAACATTTAACTGAAGTCATATTTGCTTATATGTGATTCTCACAAGATTTTAGACTTAATATTTTCCTTTTCTTTGCTAGGGTAAAAGTAAAACCAAGCATTGTGAATCTGAGAAAAAGGCAGAAGGATGAATGAAATATTAAAATAATAACGACAGGTAAAGGGTAATAAAACCAACTAATTGAAATTTAAACAAAAATTAAGATTGAATTATGGTTAAAATCACCAAGTGGGTGCCTGAAAAGCTCTAAAAAAAATCTTTAAAATATAAAATTAAAAAAAAATAAAAAAGGGATAGGCCATGGTAAACTTGGGGAATTTTGGAGTGCTCAAGTTGTCAAGGAACAAGTCCCACGTGAAGGGAACAATTTTAGCACTGCAACTTCTCAAACACATGTACATGATGAACTGCAGGCATCAGAAATAATGAAGTTATGGTTACAATATTAATTTATTTATTTAAATATATGAGATCTACCTGCTAAACCTGCGCAATTATAAAAAAAAATAATAATAATCAAACAGTAAGCTTGTGCTTAGATGCTGCTTACATTACAATTAGCTTTTACGTGCATGTGTTTGTCATATTCGTTCGACATTTAGGAAAGAAAACAGAGCCACTAATTAATCACATATTTGAGATGAAATGCTCTGTTGTTAGCGTCTGGTACTTTTTGGGGGGTGTGGAATCTGTAAGTTGGCTGAAAGGGATCTCCCACAGCATGGCGCAAGGGGAGGTTGAAGATCTGGTGATTCATTTAGAGGAGTCTATGGAGTTGACGTCTATGGAAAGTGGGATCCGCCTCATTGGGGCTGTTTTGGCAGATAAAACATTGAATAAGTGGGGAATAAGGAATGTTTTGAGGTCATCCTGGAGGGAGTTTGGTGACATTCAAATCAAGTGGGTCAGAGATAATACATTTATTATTACAGTCAGAGATGAGGAAGTTGTACGAAGTGTTTGGATCAAAAACTAAACTTTGGGCTCAAGAAAGGAGCTGGCCCGAAAGGAGGCCCAAAGGGAAGATAGTCGAAGCCCAGTCGAAGCCCAGAAGGCAGAAAGGGCCTTTTCTGACTTGGTGCAGCTCATGAAGACCACTTGCTTACCTACCCAAAGGCCAAGTGGTATAGACTGATCAGCTACACAGCTCATAAAGTACTTTATGATGGCAGTCCATGTAAAAAAGCCGATGAGTCATCACCTTCAAACCGCATTCGGGCAAGGCCGCTGCTACAGGAAGCCAAGCCAAGTTGTCTATATAAGAAGAAGGAGAAACCAGGAATAAGGACACTCAAACAAACAAACAAAAGCACAAACTCTGCTCAAACCAGATTTGCCTTCAAAACAAAGCTGTAGTCAGCCTTCATCCCTTTCGGGACAAGCCTTCATCCCCCTCGGGATAACCCTCTCTTCAACCCTTTGTAATAGCTCTGCTACCTTGTTCAACCTTGCTGTAGTATCGATTCATTTTTTGTAATCTCTCTCTCTCCCTCTAAGCTTTCAGAGCTTTGACAAAACTACAAAGATAGGAACCTGCAAGACGAGCAACCTTACCCGATAAGGTTTAACCTTGCCCGACCTTCTTTGCTTTGTTTTTGTCTTTTCAATATGTTGTATACTTCCAGTTATATGCAAGTTATTTCTAGCAATATGACTATTAAAAGGCTTTCTCAGTACTTGAATCCGATTTGAATATATCGTCAGTGTTCAAACCAGATCCAAGTTCTAAGCCCTTGGGCATGTAAATCTGATCAGTTAAAAGTCCTTGGCCTCAAGGCATAAAAAAGAACCTTATGTGGACTTAACCCATCCACGACAGTCCTTGATAAACGAGAAGTCCGAAGTTACTTGGGGCGCAAGTAATCAACCTACCCTCTAGTTTTCCTTCTATTATATCATGATTACCATAGAAAGCTTGAGTATGGAATGGATTCTAATGGAAAGCCTCAAGGCCTACACCTAAGGTCCCACAAAGGCATCCATTTGGATTCATTCCGTTCAGCGATCTAAAGAGTCTAAGTATAGGAATGAACTCTGATAGGAAGCCTCAAGGCCTACATCTAAGGCCCCACAAAGGCACTTATTTGGGTTCATTCTACTTCTTGGACTCGGTTATTTGGGTTCATTCTACTTCTTGGACTCGGGTAATCAGAAGTATAATAGTTAGAAAACTCCGGCAATCACTAGAACAAATATGATGTGTTCAAGCACCGGTTTAGTTATTGATGGGAAGCCTCAAGGCCTACACCTAAGGCCCCACAAAGGCACCTGTTATAACTAACACGGTTTCTTGGATACATACATACATGCAACTAAAGCGATATCCATTTTACATCTGCCATGCTAAAGATGGCAGTGGCACGCCTGAGCACCTAAATGTTAACCTTGATAGGAAGCCTTAAGGCCTACACCTAAGGCCCAACAAAGGCACCTCTCAAAGTTAACGCTGTCCTTTTCTTTCAGCCTTGCCCGAAGAGTCTTGCCCGACGAGACTTGCCCGACAACGCCCGACAGCGAAGCAGAAGCCCGACAGCAGCCCTCAAAACCGGCGCCAACCTCCAGGGGAGCTGTGTGCTCGTCGGCCAGGAGACATCCCCGACGGAAATTCCTGACGCGAACACGAAGGATTTTGGAGCAAGTGCCATGGGCGGTAATGAAGCAGCACTTTGTGGTTAAAAGATGGCCACCTGAACTTGCTTTTGAGGAGGTCCAACTGGAGATTATGCCGTTTTGGGTGCAAATTAGAGGAGTTCCATTATACCTTCATACAGAGAATAATGTTAAAAGACTGGCTCGGGAAATTGGAGATTTTATTGGGATGGAGGATTTATCTCATGCTAGAGGTTTTCTAAGGGTTCGGGTTGATATTAATACTAGAAATCCTTTAGCAACAGGTTGTTGGCTTCCCAGACCTAATAACAAGGAGACATGGATCGAATTTAGGTATGAAAGGCTGCAAAACTTCTACTACAGGTGTGGTAGAATCGGACATGTCAACACAGAGTGTTCTTTTGGATATAATAGAGGGGGTGCCACAGGTTATGAGGAGTGGACACAAACTGCTGCTATCAGG